ACTTCCTACTTTCCAGACTTTTCAAATATGTTAAACAATTTGACTTGATAGCAGACAAAAATTACAAGACCCTTTGTTGAAGACAAACTTTGTTGACATACTGCAAGTAATTATCCTCAAAAGAATTTGTTGGTAATAAGTATCTGATTGTTTTCACCAATTTCAATTAACAATTATGTAAAATTCTACTAATTTCGGTTAATGAAATGAATAATTCTGCCATATGATGATCTCTATAATAGAAAGCCATACGTTTATACAAACACTTTGTCAGTTTTCGGAGATGAGTTGCAGTAAACTTCTAGTGGTGTTGAAGATGGCTTGTCTTCTGGATTGTTGTGTCTGGTAGAAGTTTGCCAGCGTTCTAAGTCCTTGATGGCAGCAGCAACACCTCTGAAAAGCCATTAAACTGCTGCCAGAATACACGACAACACAGAAAACAAATCATCTTCATATTTGCCGCCGTGATAACCTAAAATTTTATATTTACTTTGTGGTGTAGCAGTCAGGCAAACGAAAACATAATAAAACCATACTATAAGGGACAATTTAAACTTGATAGCCGGAAAAATGTGATTTAATATTAACTGCTGAACTTTTAAAGTCGTTTCTAATAAGGTTTTCTCTCCTATCTATCAGTTTGTGGCTTTCTACGCTATATTTATTTGTGAAATTACATCGATTATTTTGTTGTATTGTATGCTGAAAGATGGCAGCACAAACCTATCCTGGTCATCTGCGCCATCTGTAAGCACTTGAACAAAATGAATTATTTCGATGACTAAAACAAAAAAATGGCGTGCGCAGAGGCAGCAGGATCGATTTGAATTACACTGCCCCCTACACTGTTTTCAGGCTGCCGGACAAAATGGAAGAAAATAAGACACACAACATCAAAATTAAATGGAAGGCTACGGATTTGTTATGGTTGGATATCGTGAATGATGATCCTTATACGTGTGAAATATGTATTTTGTGGTTTTGATACTAAGAATAGCGACAGGTGAAGGAAAATTGTGAAGAATGTCACTCTTACATACTTTGTGAGTAACACAATTCAAAACTTATTAAGATGCTGGATTTATATTATGTTATTGTTTTTACATTGACAAGTAATTTGTGTACAGTATTTTTGCTTTTAGACGCATTTTATAGGCAACTCTTTGTTTTTAATCAATTGTAAATAGGTGAGGTATAAGATAAATTTGTCCCTGCCCCTATTCATGACAAAATATTGGTGCCTGGTGACAGTAGTTTCCTAATTAAGAGTATGCTATTAATTAAAAGAAATCTAGTATTAGTGTGGTTACAGTGTATAAGCACTTCTGTAATTATTTATTTTCAGACAGTTCATATACATTCACTCTTCAGTAATTCACAGGTGTTGAAAGCTGTGTAGTGTGTGTGTGTGTACGTATATATATTAGTTCTAATATTTGTTAATGGTAACTTTATTTCCAGTAGCAAATTTTTTGTCAGATTTTTTTAAATTAGTTAATCCTTGTAAAATATGTTTCGCATGGTCTTCTGTGCATTTATTAATAATGTGTAACATCCAGTTTGTAACCGGTAAGAATACACCTAACCTTAGTAGCATATATGAAACAAAAGCTCTCAGCAGATACTTACATTTGAGAGTAATTTGTATTTCTTGCTGAGATACATTTCTTTTATACATTTTACATTTATATCCAATACACATTGAATAGTAGTCATGGACCCAGTTGCAATGTAAAAGTATGCTTCCTCTATGCTGAAGCATCATGTCATGAAACAAAGGTCTGCATATTTACTTGATGGATGTGGAGCATAATTTGGACTATGTGCCCAACCATTTAAACTTCCGTAGCGCTAATATATGATTCATATTCATCTGTTAAACTGATGAAGCATCACAGTTCATGATTAATTGAATAAAATGAGGTGGGGAGGTCGTGTAGCATGCACAATTTTATGTGGATGGCCTAAAAAGAAGAAACCACTCGTGAATCATAGATGTTGATGTTACGGTGTGGAATGGATTCAGCTGGTTTAGTGTAGGATCCAATGGCATACTTTTGTGAATATGGTAGTGTACTTTTTGGATCCATTAACAGTAAGGAGACCAGCTGAACTAACTCCACGGAACAAAGTCCTCCTTGAGAAGTTAATACTGTGCTCATCTGGATAAAAAATTCCTCACCATTTATGCAAAGCCAAAGGTTCGTTACGGTACTCACAAGACTGGCCGCCATCCTCCAACTCTGTATCAAAACATCAATTTTGGTATTATCCTCCCATCTTCTCCTAGGCATTCGGAGTGTAACCAAAATTTTGTATGTATTTCTGATTTTCCTCAAATGCTGCACGTGCCCTGTCCACGTCAGCACCTTCAATTTGATCGTGTCAAGCCAAGCAACTGTTATATGTATTTTCAAGAGAGTCCTTGAATCATTGGTCCATAAATTAGCATTTACAAGCTGCTGAGTAGACTAGTTTTGTTATAATCGTTCCTGATGACGTGTGCAAAGTGCAGATGAGTGTAACTGGAATAAAGCATTGTGAAAATTACAATTTGAGAATTGTTCTGTAGTGCACTTCGAATCCCGTGGTACATTATATGTGATGTTTGTTGGGTGTTACGCCAATGTTTTTCCACATTGTAGGTACAATAGTCAACAAAGCTAATCATTACAAGCACGTCTAAACATGTTTATTTGCGATATTATGTACAAGTGCCAGTGATCGAATGGATTATTTAACGACGCTCCAAGAACATTACAAAGATATCGGATGCCAAGTTTTTAAGGTGTTATCTCGAACTGTTTCTCGAGAATGGCGGAGTAGGTGGGCAACTGCGAAAGTCCCCTAGAAAATCAAGTCGGTGGGATTTGTTTCTAGAGCTCGACTGTATCTCAAGCATAGCTGCGAATAACTTTTCCTTTGGTGGGGGAGAGTGACCCGAGAACTTTGATTGTTGTCATTTAAACCAGGCCCGTTCAGTCCTCTTCTGCAAGCCCCTCTTAACATCAGTAAACGTCTACTACACAGCCATCTTTAAAACTGTGTGGTTTTGCATTTTTTTAAAGAATTCAAGGTTTTTGGAGGAACAGAAATAGATTCTTCTGTTGTCAGTATTATTATTGTTGTTGTTTCCTGCAGTAGGTCGTAGACAGAATATAGGGTCTATTTATATAGGAACGTAACGATAACGACACGAGCCCTTGACGATTTTTCAGAAAACATTATTCAACGTTTTTTAATGAAACTGTTTTAGGAAAAATATCGTTGGAGACGTAAGTCGGCGAGACTCGTTCGCGGAACGGACGAGCTCGGAGTCAATATAAACAGTTCCATTGAAAAACGTTGAATAATATTTTCTGAAAAATCGCCAAGGGCTCGTGTCGTTATCTTCACGTTCCTATATAAATAGACCCTATAGGGCACTGTAACATCAGAATGGCGGACGTGGAATTGTTTTTATTTAAATTTAATTTGCATTGTATTTTGTGTAATCGACGTACCTCATATGTGTGCTGGGTCGGAATGCATTATTTTTAATATTATACTTCGATATGAAGATACGTTTGACTTTAATAATGCAGAAAACGTTTGTAAATGAATCCTTATCATTTAAAAATCACGATTGCAGGATTTTGAACTCAGCCCGTGAGCTGTGGCCCTCCCGTTTTGTTTTATAAATGCCCTGTTTACCAGTTCCTCTGCTGTCAGACTGAATTTGGAGTTGAAATCAATGTAACTTGTTTTTATTTGTTATCAAAAGTTTAGCTTCTTATTTGAATAATATGAGATTTTGTGTTTTACGGCGGTCAATGTCTGTGGTGTTCTTCAGGACTGCAGACTCAGAATTTGGACGACCTTGAGTTATAAATCTACGCCGATTGGATCGATGTTGCTTTGAGCGCAGTGATGGCGCTGGTGAAGTCTTGTTTCATTATCAGGCAATAGGCGTATAGTCTTATCGCGATAGTTGTGTTATAGAAAGCGTTGGAATTTTGGGGTGGGAGTAAAGCCTTCGGATTCATCATCTTCATAGCAGTTAGTTTTGTTTTTAATTTGAATGCATTGTATTTGCATAATAATTTACGTGTCTGAATTTAATTTGTTAATTTCCATCGCTTCACATCCAACATGCATCCGCGTTATGAAAACAGCATTCTCTTATAAATCAATGGCGTTATAGCCAGTTCGCGTTGTGAAAACACGCGTTACAGTATCTTAATGAAACTCTTTTATTATGTTTACTTCAAATAATTCAGTCCAATATTTGGTATTACTATTATGCGTGTTGTTGGTTGACTCTGCAGGGTTAGACAGTTGTCGGTTCCTTAATTCTCTGGGCGAAGTTCGGCCTTCATTTATTTTTATGTGGTTTGAGGTTATGACCGTCCACTCTCTTTGTTTCGCTCCAGCTAACTCAGGGTCGCTCACGGAGATCGAACGTAGAATGAATGAAGCGATGGCGATCAAGTCTTCTCACACCATACAACGCGGTGGTAGCGATCAGTTTGAAATATCGCGTAAGCACAAGATCGTAAACGATGCATCGATTATCTCGTCTGTAAGAAGAAGCGATACTCTTGTCAGCGCTGGTTGATGATGAGAAGCGGCAAGCCAGGTAATTATTCATTTTATTGTGTACAATTGTAGAAATTTGAGAAGTAATTACAAATATTAACATCACAATTAATATATATTAATGAATTAATATATTTTTCAGAAAGAAGCGTAAGAAAACGTGGTTTCTGCTTCATGAACATGAAGGAGAATTTCATACTTTATATCAGCAACTGTGACAACATGAAGAACGTTTCTATATTACATTCGGATGCCAATTGTATGCTTTGATGATGTACTGGACCTAATTAAGGGAGATATAAGGAAGAAATGTACGAAGTACAGGTGACCTATTGAACCCGTGGAACGCCTAGCAGTTGCCTTGAGGTAAGGGGATGCACAGACAGTTTTCATTAGAAAAAAATAACTTATTTGAGACAAACAACTATGACATTTGTTCAGTTTAATAATTAATTAAAGAATACGTGACAAAATTACAAGCTTCCCACTTAATTCAACAATTTCTCAGAAATCTTACGTGTTACAGAATTTTCAAAAGAAATATCACTTTGAAAAGAAATTTACAATATTGTGTTACGTAACATCTTTACAATGCTTTTCCAAAATCCTGAAGCCAGCTTGCAGATGTAGTCGTATTTTCAAGATCTATGTTCTGCGAAGGTAGGTTACTTTCGGAGCTATACTGTGAGCAACCTGCTGATCTTGAAGGTCCTGGACTAGGCGTACTGCAGTGACAATTTGATCTAGTAGCATCTTGCATTAATATTTGTGCAATTTTAAATTTCACTACTGTTTGCCATCGTGGTGAGAATTTCTTAATGGTTTTGGCATATCCCATACAGAGTAAATCAACATCATCATAGGCTGAGTTTTCGATCGGTCTATTTTCCAAATAATTCAATATTTGTCCTACTAAAGAAGAATGCTGGGGAGATGTTTCTCCACCTTTCTTTTTTGAATACGGGTGGATGGAGGATATGCCGGTCTGGAAAAACTTTCCTGTCCAGGTTGAAGGTGTGATGATATGACTTAAGCCTGTTGAGTGCCTTTAGCTTCTTCAGTCAGAATAGATTCAGATTCATCTACTTCGGAATTAAGGACGGAATCTGGGATGGATATATTTGACTCTGTACTTGAAAAACTGTAGAAAAGGGCTGAAAAATGACATCTGCTGGACCCATGGCCAAGTTTTATATCTATTCAGACTTTTCGCTGCTTGCCCTGTACGCGTCTTCTCAGCTCTTAGGTGTTTCCAGTTCTTCACCTCCTGACCTGAAAAGCACACAATCAGACATCACCTAAGTGACAAATGTTTTCATTTATATTTTCTGCTTCAGGTTTCTAGCAACTGGTGACTCTTATAGCACAACAGGCCACGGCTTTCGGATGGGATTTTCTACAGTTAGTGGTATTGTTAAGGAAGTATGTGACACAATTTGGAAACGTTTGCAGCCTAGTTACATGCCTGAACCTACAAAAGAAATGTGGGAAGAAACAATATTAGGTTTTAATGAAACGTGACAGTTTCCTAATTGTGTTGGAAGCATTGATGTGAAACACATTACCATAAAGTGTACAAATAATTCTGGTTCAAACTATTTTAGCTATTTGAAAAAAATATTTGATAGTTTTAATGGCTATTGTTGACCACAATCACAAATTTATTTGTATAGACGTAGGTGGTATGGGGAGAAAGATAGCTGATGGAACATTTAATATTCCAGCAGATAGGTCCTTGCCTGGTCAGAACGAACTCACTCCTTGTGTCGTAATAGGCGTCGAAGCATTTCCACTACGATGCGCCCCTTTCCATACAGACAATCAAGAGAGGACTACAAAAAGGAGATCTACAATAAGCGACTCTTTCGAGCTCGACGTGTTGTAGAAAATGCGTTTGGAATTTTAGCTCAAAAGTGGAGGATGTTTCTTGGGGAAATTCAGGTATAAAAGTGGAAACTACTGTATGTATTGTAAAGGCCGCATGCATTCTACATAATTATTTGCGTTCAAAAAACTCTGGTTTGAGGTTCGAGCACTTACTAGAACCTCAAGAAGCAATAGCAGAGGCTCTTGGAAACCTACAACTAGAAGGAAAAAGGGCAACTCATTTATCTGCTCAGATACGTGATAGATTTGTTAACTATTTCAATACGTAAAAAGCTGTACTTTTACTCCATTTATTGTAATAACATAACAGACTGATTTACAAGAGCAGTATTTGTATATTAAGCATTGTTGTCATAAAATAAATATGAAGAAAACTTATTACATAAGTGTTTAAGTATTTACTTAACATAATTGACGTGTGTAATTATTCTGTTAAAGTTATTTTGTATACAACTATGAATAATAGATTAAATAATTGATGAAAATAAATGGGAAATGTGTGAACTTACAGCTTGTTCCTAGCGATCTGCCTATTTGTTCCCAGACTTCATCTTTCTTTTTTATATTCTTGTAATCAGGATGCGACAAATTAAATAATTTTACTTCTTCAATAAGTTGCCCTGTTGTACTCTTTGTTCATGCTAACACACAATGACGCGGGCAGCGATCAAACTCGACAAACTGCATCTGATCGCCACCGCGGAGTAGATCGCTGCACTGTCCGGAACGCTGCCCGCAAGATCGCTGCCTGTCTGAAAGCAGGAAATATCTGACCGCTACATCGCTCTGGTGTGCGGGAGCCTTTACAATCGTATCTTTGTTCAAAGGGACTTTGCCACAATTGGCAACGCAGCATTCCTTCTCATAATTCCAGTACACGATCATAAACGTAAGCATGCGGACGTTTACTCACTGTAGCTCTTGCGAAATGGAAACTGTCCATTCAGTGCATGTTCGTGTCATGTGTGAACTGAGGCGTGTTGGTTGTGACTTGTTAAAAGTCCATGGAAATGAAGTTCTGCGCTGCCTTGAAGTAAGTGATTTCTGAGTGAGTTGTGTACCGTGAAGTCTCCTTGTGTTACTAGGGGATCCGGGGGGAATGCAAACCTTATATTATTATGGCAGGTGTTAATTGTAAGTCTTCTATAACGAAAATAAGTCATGATAGGCTGTGGCTGTGCGATATACAATGTGATGGTGGAATCAATATGCTGAAATATTTTTAACATCCTTCGATTGATAGAGGCAGTTCAGCAGTGGCAGCCATCAAAACAAAGTATCGTTCTACGATGAACGTGGAAAGCGACCTCAGAACGGCCATTTTAAAAGTACAGAGCATTTACCTGGCAAGACGTATTTTATTTTGGATGTTTTTAGATTGACTGTTAATTTAAAATCTTGTATTTGTTGCTGTCGTAAATAAATTATTCAACACTTTTATATTTTATTGACATTTCAATTCGTGTCTGTACTATTGGACCATGCATTTTACATCGATTAATAATGTGGTATACCTTGTTTGCCACCAGTTTAGATTTTATTTTTTGTAATTAAAAATATTACAGTCATGGCGTTGTGTGTGACTCAATTTCACACCTCTGTCCCAATCTCTACACATTCACCCTGATGATGGCAACTGCAGTGTTTGGCGAAACGTTTGATAACTGTCAACATTTGACGCGGCCTGTCCTCGTTATGTTAATGTTTGTAATCAGAACGTAACGGAGAAAACATCGAGCAGGTTGACTTGTCTCGGCATTTGTTTGCAGAGACTCAGTAAAACCACGAAACCCCTAATCACGATCTATAGCTGCTCAACGCCACTTAGATCCTTAGTACACTGGCATTCTCTGTACAAATCTGACTTCAGCACTGGTTCAGATTTGTCACAAATTTTCTCCTAAACGTTGACTTTCACCTGGCGAGTTCTACTTTCAACCCTGCGTGCCAGTTTCGTCTGCTTAGTGCTGAAACGGAAATGACGGTCGAGAACAAGTGCGTGCATGTTCGTAGGATAAAAAGGGTAAGTTTAGTCATGTATGTGGGGTACGCATGCGCAGCTGCTAGGTCCCCCTCCTGCTGGACCCTCAGAATACGACCATTCAGCCCCTCTGTCAATGTGATCCCCTCGATTTCCGCTCCCACACCTTCATGTTTACATTTACAGTTTATTTCTCTTACGCTAGATGTCGGACCAGTCATCCTTTGGGTGCGCATGTGCGTTGCATTTACAGCTAGTGCATTTCTCTTACGCTAGATGTCAGACGCTGCGTTCTCAGCACGTCCTGCCTGTGGTCTACCGCTCGTCTTTGTGCAACTGTTTCAGTGCTGTGGCTGTCTTTGTGTGAGAAGCGTCTCCAGATTTGGTTTGGTTCGCGTTTAAATATATGCTGTGGCGTCTGTTGTTTACGTCGTGTCCATTACTTATCTTTGTTCTCAATTTGTAAGACGAGAATATACAAAGGTAGATAGACGAAACGTGTGCAGAAAACATGGAATATTGCGTTCTGTTATTTATGCGCGAGCGTTAATTTAAAAAAAGTAATTTCCGTTTGTCGTAATTGTGTGTGTGGTGGTTCAACGTAGCAGTCAGAATTTCGTGTGATAACTCATCATCCCCATCTGGGGAACATCCTTCCAAAATGGTTAGCAAGTGAGTATGCTGTGTTACTAAATATTTTTATAATAAATTTAGAAAAGTAGGCAGAATTGTTACAAACACAGTCAAACTGGTTTCCACATACAAACTCTTGAAAATGCGTTACTATGGTAACCCGCGCGTAAATGTACTCTTGGTTTCTGTGTTGCCCACTGTGACTGCAGGGTTTGCAGGTGTGTAAGCTTGGCAGCTACGTAGCTGTAGGATGAGTTGTACGCCTACAAAGGTGTCTCCGTTTACTCACAATATGAATTTGTTTACTCAAGTCTGTAATTTTCTTACGTTAAGTAATGGTACCAACCTTAACAACAAAACGTAACGTGTTCAGTAAAACCATCGGTGATGAACCAGTGTGTGTGATTACGAAAGATAAGGGAATTGCATGTTTATAACTACAACGTGTTAATATACAATTTATTAAAATTCGCGACACAACCGAAGCCTTGTTGCATGCAGTACACTGATTAATAAGTGTATTATAGAAATGTTAGCAGTCTAATAAAATTTCCTCACGCCTCTACGTCGACCCAGCCCCCTCGGGGCGTGTCGCTGACCACTTTACCCCAATTAGTACCAAGGTTGAGAATGAGTATTACCAAGTTGGAGGGACAGTGTGTGAAGTTGGGCTTGCCTTTACGGGCCTGGTTCAAGCAGAAACCTGTAAAGTGACGTAGACGAACTCCAAACCGACCCAGGAACATCGTACGACAACGATTCCTTCATTCGATACAGAGAAGCCCACAGACGCGGCCATAATGAAAACAAAAACAAATAAATTATACAACGTGAAGGAAATTATGAAAATATCGTATTCAACGAAACAAGCGACCCGTGTAATTATTGTCGGCGTGATTTTATGATAATTAATCTTCGAAGGTCCATAAAAGGCGAGGAATTTATTGATTAACTAATAGACGGTCAGCGTTACGAATCGAGTGAATTGAAACAGACTTACGAGTGTTAAGAAGTGGGTTTTTGTTTCGAGACACCGGCCGTGATTGACTTCAATAGAAATCTCCGAATCAGCTTCCGTCGTCAGAGAAAAGAAACTATACGAAATTTGCCAGAGTGTAGTTGGTACAACGAGGAATATATTTTTGGCTACGCTGGCTCTATGACCCGTTAACGCCAAATACTCTCACTGGGTACGTATTGCGTGCGTGTCCCAGGAATCTACGAAACTTGTTCACGAATTAAAATTCCTGGCTACCCGTAACACTGCTTTTATGATAAAACAGTTCTTACAGATATTTTAAGTACTCTTAATTCTTATTAATGTCCTGTTTCGTATTATTTGTGATAGAAGTTTCGTAGAGAGTGTTGTCTTAGATAAATAAGACTTTGTTCTGACGCTGCTAGGAAGTAGGGGTCACGGTAGCCGTTCTCTCTCTCTCTCTCTCCACCGGGTGTTTCCTCGCCTCAGTATACCAAAATGTGCCGCGAACATAGTGATGAAAACACAAAAGAAGAAACATACGAATTACTGTGACATTATGAGAGAGTTTTAATTGTGTGGGCCTCTGAACGGCCAGAACCTTGAGACTTTTGGAAATATGTAACTGCCCATAATTGATTATTAGTCCTAAGAAACTTATTTTTACGGCGAGCCTGAGAATTTCAGTGCTGTACTTGTACAGGGTTTAAAATTCAGGAGTTAAAACATGCACAGGGAACTAAAAACCTCATTAAAAATGTCTTATAATTTTTCGAAGGGGGGGAGGGGTATGTTTGTGTTCATCAAGCCTTCCCCCGGTGCATTTGACAGTGGTTGTAGTTTAAAGAAATAAAGGTCTGTTTCCAGCTAAGTACCGGGTCTACAATTTATGAGGCTGCGGTCGTGCTTACATTGCGTTATCGGCCGCTGCTGTTGACGTAGGCGGGACTTGTACGCGTGAGTCACGGGCGAGTCAGTTTCGGTGCCGCTGGCAACAGCGAACTACGAATATTTCTCGTCGCTGATACATGTTATTACGTTAATTGTTCTTACCTTAAATCACAGAAGATGTTCAAAGTGACTTCCTTGTGCTTGCAGGCAACTTCACATCTCGTTAATCGAAATACTCGACGAAGCTGTTCTTGGGAAATTGCCGACATATTTTATGAACATCAATTGAAATAAAGAACGTGGTAGTTATTGATTATATATTTTTCTAACTTTATGGTATGGCCTACGAGTCGTCATTTTTCAAACACAACTAAGAGAACTATTGCCCCGAAAGAAAATACTACGCCAAGATATTTTTGCTGCCAAAGAACATAATATCAAAAGCGTTACGCAATGCTTTAAGAATCAGGAGTTCAGATTTTGCCTGAAAGCCTGTCGTCTGTTGTTCGTTCAGTGGTTGTGGAACGAATGCTTGTAGGATCGGTCGTCGCTCAGCGCGAAATCTTGCGCATGCGCGTATATCGAATTCCTAGCAGGGATTTTCTCCTGATCTGCTTAACCAGCTGGTTTTCGTAATGGTGAGGTGTAGTGTTTTCTTCGCGGTACGGACTGAATTCATAAATAATATTTAGACGATCTTCGGCTTCAAAGGGTTAACCCTTTGAAGCCGAAGCTCGTCTTCATAATATTTACGAATCCAGACCGTACCGCGAAGAAAACACTTCACCTCACCATTACGAAAATCAGCTGGTTAACCCTTTGAAGCCGAAGCTCGTATTCATAATATTTACGAATCCAGACCGTACCGCGAAGAAAACACTTCACTTAACCATTAGAAGTCAAATCAGGCGGTACCACATAAGATTTAACAAAAGAACATCCCGGTCGAAGCCTTAATGTGACATCGTCTCGAATTAAAGTTCGATGAAGTGACTCGTATGTAAGGATTTCTGTCTCGTATGATGCAGGTTTCTCTGTGCGTTTGTGGTTCTTTTCCCCAGACGAAATTCAATTGTTTTGTTACACAATTTCCTTATTTGATTTGATCTGTTCCCTTTAATAGGAATTCTGTTGCGCCCCGCTCAACGCGTATCACGTCCGAGCTCAAGTTGCTGCGCAGTTAACTTTGATTTAGAAATGGTGTGCAGAACGGTAAATCTATTTGTAGGAGATCTAGGGGATGCTTGAAAGATGATTTTGAGACCGGCACTGGCTTAAATCGCAAATTTCATTCTACAGAGAACACGAATTTGGCTTGAATATGATTTATTCAAAGTAAAATAATTTTTGTAACCGCGAGATGCAGTCGTACGTATTGTAACAATTTTGATGTTTTTTTTTCGAAAATGGCAAATTCTGTCTCTCTGAAACTTATGTTAAAACATTTTTTTATTTTTGCGTTCGTTTCAGATCGGATGACACCGAGAAACATGAAGAGTCGAGTTCGGCGCGCGAACCCAAACAGATGACAAAGTATGGCGAGCTGACCATCGTAGGGTGAGTTACATTGAGTATCTGTTGTCTGTTTGTGTATTGGAGTTGAATATCGCAAAATAATAAAACTTAATCCATGCCCTTTTAATAAATCTCGAACAGCGACTCTGGAATTATCGTTCGCGAACCACTGGGCAGTGATTAGGGTTTGTCGGTTTTTAAAAACTTGTTTTTTGGATAAATTTGAAAAATTCGAAAACCGTTTTTTTTCTTCAAAAGTCGGTTTTTGTATAAACCCTAGCAGTGATGCCACCATTGATAGGCGAGTTCACCGGACAATGAGCAGTTTCTGTGTCTGTTTCAGGAAACATTTATCACATTTTTTATCTTTATAGAAGAATTTCTTTGAAAGTGTCTCTTCGTCTTGACCAATGAGGAAACGTCTGTGTGAGGGGTCGTTTATATAAAATTATTCTTTTCCACTGATTATCGTCAAAAAATAAACAGTGGATGAAGTAGACTGTGGTAGAGTAGTTGGTCGATGCCATGGCAGCGACACCAACAGCGATGCCATGGCGTCCAGCTGCCAGAAAGAGACGCCAGACAAGCTGCCAGCTTTCGACGCCAGTCGAGTGAACAGATGGATCGACATTATGTGATCACGAAATGAAGGGCTATTAGCACGGAGAAATGTCAACTTTTATCACTTTTGAGAAAATGAGATTTACCTTTATCAAAACTACATACCTGGAGTGAATTTCAATTCTGTAACAAAGAAATAAGTAAAAAAATTGTCCATACACACACTTTGCACGTCCATACTCATTATACATTATTGAATTTGAAATATTTCAGTTCTTGCAAATCACATGTAATATTACACGAACAAACTTTATTTAATAAAACATTATAAAAGCAGGTTTCTCCTTAATTCACATTATTTGTGATATATAGATAGATGCATAGATTACTAAACAAAAAAAAATTAAAAATGAAGTTGCCATATTGGAAAGCGGCCCCACAAATGAAGCCATAGAAACACTTCTTACCTAATTCTTTCTTTTCTACTGTAAATAAATCTCCTCCTCCAAATATTTCCACAAGTTCTTCCCAGTTTCTTTTTTTCAAGTCCCGGTTTGCGTATTCAATATCAGATGAATCCCATAGTCGGGGTTGAATTTCAATTATCAATCTTTCGGTGTCGAAATTATCCACGTTTGGAAGAAACAGAAATACACACAAGCACATTCACGCACGGACGTCAATGGACTGGCCTCAGACTGTCGTGTGATGTTGATTTGGGCTTGGCAGCGATGCCAGTAGCAATTGAACTTGGCATCTTGGTTGGCAGCGATGCCAAGTTGGAAGCGCTGCCAGACGGATGCCAGGTGCGATATGTGACTACTAAATTAATGCATTGAGTTTGGCCGAGATGCTGGCAGCTGCGCCATGGCCATCCTAGTGCGATATCGCCCTTAAGTGTTTAGATGGATGCCAGAAGTCTGTTTTCTTGAAGAATAAATTCTAAATTCATGATTTTCAAGGTGGTAGTTGTGAAATGTGTCCCTGACGCGTGGCCTATGAACCTTGACCTTGCTCATTGTGTAAATAGAGGTTGAACTTTGTGGTTGCTTCAGGTTCAGTCCTCATAGGATGGTTTAGGCTTGCGTTGTGGTCGCTGCCCATGGGTCATGTTTTTGTTGTGGGAATTCTTTAATTAAATATTAAGATGAACGTTTTGTTTATTTTTGTTATGTGGTGTAAACGTGGCTGAAAGATGCTCCATGAAAGTGAATTGCAAATCATTTTACTTAAAACAAACAGTTGGTACTCCTGAAGCAAATAAACGAGGCCTACTGTAAACGGAAGTTCAAAATCCACATTAATATGGAATTTACTTAGCGTCATTTACACTGTCAGATTAAATGTCACTAATATACAGGGTGATTCAAAGAACTTTCGAATAGGAATCCGTGTCCTCCGAAGTCATCCCGAGTCAGTCGAGGTCATTGAAGGTGGGGAAGTCTGAAAACGTACCGCTGAAATAATTGTACTTCCTACTTCTGAATCCGTGTCCGAATTTTGATGAAATTTTGTGTGCTAGAAGCTGATCCTTAATCACTAAATGTAATTTGAATTGTATTAACCAGTGCTTGAAAGACAAGCCGTGATTTTCAGTGTCATCCTTTCCTTAACAGTTTTACGTGACTCGCCTTCAATTTAATTTTGTTCACTTTGTCAATAATTAAAGCCTGTTACGAAGGTGGCACTGTTTCATAGTTCTTACTACGCATTAGGGGTCTATTTATATAGGAACGTGAAGATAACGACACGAGCACGACACGAGACCTTGGCGATTTTTTCAGAAAATATTATTCAACGTTTATATTGACTCCGAGCTCGTCCGTTCCACGGATGAGTCTCGCCCAACTTACGTCTCCAACGATATTTTTCCTGTGATGGAATTCGTCGTTAAAGCAAGCCTTTCGTTAATCTTGTATTTCTGTTGGTAGACTTGTGTCTTGTGTGTTGCAGATATAATGGCTTCCTGCCACCGGGCGACCGAGGTCGGAGGAGAAGCAAATTTGTGTTGTACAAGAGGTCATCGGCTAACGGAGTCAAGCGGTCACAGCACTATGTCGTCAAAACACCACATTCCTCCCAGGTAGGCGTAGCCCCTCAAGCTGTAGAAAAGTTCTGAAATTGATGCTCAAAGAAGAAGAAATCGTCCCTTGATGCTCAGCTGATAGGACCGATGGATAGTTTCTGAACAGCAGTAGGAAGAAGGCTGTTCAAATTTGACTTTGGAATATTTAAAAAATTCCGGATCCACGGTTATCCACAAAAATATTGTCTATAGAGTCCAGGGGTTTCCCCACCAAATATGCCGTAGTGCCTTAGGTTTAGAAAAGAATCGACCTACACCGTATAGCTTGTTATTTAATTTAAATTTCATGCACGCTGAGTCCTGTGATCGTATTTAGTAATTTTTTTGCAAAACTATGTCCGAAATATCGGGTTTCCATTTTATGAGGCTGCGGTCGTGCTTGTATTGCGTGGTCGGCCGGCGTCCCGTTGATGCGGGCGGGAGTTGTGCGCGATCTTCCGGTGGGTGACCGGCGAATCAGTTTCGGTGCCGCTAGTAACAGCGAACTGCGAATATTTCTCGTCACTAATACATGTTATTACGTTAATTGTTCTTACCTTAAATCATAAAAGATGCTCAAAGTGACTTCCTTATGCTCGTAGGCAACTTCACATCTCGTTAACTTGTTTCGAAATACTCGGCGAAGCTCTTCTTGGGACTTCGTTTCTGTGGACGTAGTCTCACAAGGGTGTGAATACTTTTCTAGGAATCTCTTCACCAAGATTCTTTATGTCATAGTTTGGTGCATGATTGAACCTTCGTTTATTTATCGAAGTTTTATAAACGTTGTGTGAGAGGATGAATATAAATAAGGGAGCGTTTGTCGGCTACTTAAAGTCCTCGTGGATTCGCGGATTTACTGAGGAAAATTGTGAAACACATCGGGACGACAGGAATTGAACTCGAGATCACATTACACACATTAACACATTAACATTGTTCTAATTTAAGTCTGTCTGAAACGTCGGAGAGTATTTACCAGACTACTTGGTGCAACGTCCCACAAGACAGTCATTTTCATTCTCGTTGTCGCGAGAACCTCTTATCTAACAAAATGGGTTTGGTTTTAGTTTTCAGAAAATGAATTTCATTGCCTTGTTCCAAAATACTGTTATCTGGCGTGTATTACTCAAAATGAGTCAAATAAGCAAGAGTCGTTTGAAGGGAAACATAACCAGTTTGGTTAAGTATAAATAGTATTATATTTTTTAAAATTCATTTCATTTTACAATTAAAAGTGTAACTTAACGAGATATTTCTGAATTCTAGACACTGATGTCACTGGTTCGTTATTACTGCCCCCTAAAATCAATTTCGTATCTTAAGACAATCAGTTTAATTAATAAACTGTGTTGTTCTTGTCTCAATTGTTTCCCATTCATCACAAGTCCTCTGTGTCTGCGCAAACCTTGCATTCCTTTAGCATCGATCATATTTCGTATTCAGATGTAGTCTTTTTCAAACTCTCGAAACATGCAAAAGCCTGCTTTAAAACTTGGGTGGGTTTCCCTTATTTCACGCGAATTAAGATAATGTTTGACATTTGGAATTTACAAATTTAATTGGGCAGAATCGATCTTGAGAAGCTGATGACGACTCTTAATATATGTTTCATCATCATCTTCCTATCTTCGCACAGGTCATCTCTTCATGTCGTAAATTGTATCGAGTTCTTTGTTTCCAGGCAATCCTCGACGTGGAACAACACTCCATATCCTACACATTATCGAAAAACGAAGCTGTCATCGTCGAATACATGCCTGATGAAGAGAAGGACATGTTCCAGGTGAGATATGATCTTTCGCTGCGTCCACAGATTCACAGATCGCACGTGCACTTGACAAAATACTCTTGCCATGTTGTACTCATCGATGTTGTCTTCTGGTAGACGTTTCAGAGGTGCTTGCTGCATGTACCATCAGGGCTGAACACCATCATCACACCGTGAGTACGTCAGATCTCGACACGTCTCACGCCTGGATTTGTACTTTCTGTGATGGACTTCGCGTGTCATTGCCTCCCATCACTTATGATAACGCCACATCTCGCGTATTGACTAAAAACATGTTTGCAGATGCTCGTGTTTTGTGTTTTTGGTTGGACTGAGTTTAGTTTTCGAGCAGTGTTGTTCGTTGTCACCCATGGGATTAACTGTCTTGTACTATTATGTTAAGGAAAGCAGAGGCACTTTTAAGTTCATTAGACACTACTAAGGAAGTTGGTCTACACGTATACGTCTTGTCGCCAGATTGCAGGATACCGAGAACGAATAAATTTGGGCAGTGCTTGGTGCCATGCAGTCAAGGACTGTTTTGTCTTTCCAAATGCTGTCTAAACACAAAAATAAATGTAATCTTACGTATTTTGTGTGGGTGTCAAACTTTGCCTTTCACATTAAGAGAAAAGAACAACTGATTGGAGATCTCAGAAGACTGAAGAGAATATTTGGACCTAATTGGGATGAAGTGACTGTAGAAAAATACTTAATTAGGTGCTTCATAATTTATATTCTTCGCTAAATATTAGAATGGCCAATCGAGGATGATGAACTGGGTGTGGCGTGCGTCGCTTTCAAAGCCTGAAGGAATGAGGTCACTCAGAACAGCGAGACATGGATGGGAGGATAATATTAAAATGGATCTTTGGAAATAGTGTGAGAATGTGTGGGGAAAGATGTGCAGTTGTAGTGAAAATTTGAGCACGAGATTTAAATTCCTTTGAATTTGATGTTTTCTGAACACTGTCGACGTCAGATTGTGTTGTGCTGTTACACTTGTTATGAATGTTTACAGATTTCTGTCATCAACTTTGTGTTCGTTTCTGCAGATCGGCCGGTCGTCGGAGTCGCCCATCGACTTCGTGGTAATGGATACAATTGCGGGAGACAAGGTCGGCGAGAACAAGTTGTTGAGAAGCACGGTGTCTCGGTTTGCATGTCGCATCCTTTGTGACCGCTCCAACCCACGAGTAGCGCGGATCTATGGTGCGGGCTTCGACTCTTCGCGGAACATCTTCCTTGGGGTGAGTGGAAGTGCTTGGTGCAAAGAGAAAAAAGGAAATTTGATTTTACCAGACTTCAATGTCCCCATGCTCAATATACAATGCTATGGAATAGATAAGTTGAGAGACGTTGCGGTAAGATTCGAAGATAATATTAAAATGGATCTTGGTTGTATGTTGCGGAAACGTGACTACATGGATCTTGATTCTGAAGGTGGTCCAATAGCAGGTTTTGTGAGCACGGTGATGAACATTCGGGTTTCACAAAAAAACATTTCATATCATCTGCTCAAGGAAGAGAGAGAGGATGTAATGTGTACCTGTCGGTGTTCGTGCATTGGAAATGGCTGCAGAGAGCTGTATTACCGACTGAACTAACGAGTGTATGTAACCGTGAACTGTTATGTGCAGGAGAAGGCGACGAAATGGCAGGACAGTCGCGAGATCGACGGCCTGACGACTAACGGCGTCCTCATCCTGCACCCGGGGGGATCTTTCTGTGGTGGCGAGGTGAAACCCAGTCTGTGGCGAGAGGTGTCTGTCGGGGGCAGCTTGTTCTCCCTGCGGGACCCCCGATCCGCCCAGCAGAAAGGAGTGGTGGTGAGTGTGAATACCGCCAACGCGACTGTTTCGGTTATAGCGGGCTACCGGGTCTACAATTTATGAGGCTGCGGTCGTGCTTGCATTGTGTGGTCAGCCGGCACTCTGTTGATGTGGGCAGGAGTTGTGCGCGTTCTTCCGGTGGGTGACCGGCGAATCAGTCTCAGTGCCGCTAGTAACAGCGAACTACGAATATTTCTCGTCACTGATACATGTTGTTACGTTAATTGTTCTTACCTTAAATCACAAAAGATGTTCAAAGTGACTTACTTGGGCATATCGGAGCACACAGCTCGTACCTCACCTCTGCTTACTGCAGAAGTGGAGAAAGCACGGAGCTTTGCCTACATATATTACTTTGTGGTGTAATACTTAGGAACAGAACAGGAGAAACTTCGAGGTTCCCGAAGAAATCTAAAGATGGATTCTTTTAAGATCACAGTTTGCTTTTACGCTGCATCAGAAGACAGTAGGAACAGCTTTATGAAAGTTAGACCACGAAACAGGTTCGTATGTGTGTTTCAGCTTGATGACGAGACGAATGTTCTTCAGGACGGAACTCTCATTGATCTCTGCGGTGCGACGTTACTCTGGCGGTCACATGAAGGACTGGAGAAATCACCGGTGAGTAAGATGGAACCCGTGTGTTTGTTCGTAGGAGAGTCGACGTTTTGAAACGAAAGTTCGAAACTTAATGAATACGTACTTTGATTTTCCTCCTGTACGTCACTTCCAGAGGCTGTATTGCATCTGTGTTTGAAGATCTTGTTATTGTCCATTGAATGTTTGATTGTCATAATATTTGGTGATGGAAATTGGTTTTTAGAACTAAATAATCACAACATTTATGGATGTTTAGTGGTATTAAATTTTAACGGTTAATAAAGCGTAGTAATAACGAACAGTGTGAAGATTGACTGAGAAGATTTAAAAACTAAGCTAGTCGTTTGTTGTAGACAAAGCATCACTTGGAGACTCTGGTAGGCGAGTTGAATGCTGGACGACCCCAGCGCCCTGTGGGACTAAACACGCTGGTGATTCCACGCAAGTTAACTCCGAGTGATGAAACGGGGAATGAAAGGCGGCCGTACCTGTACCTGAAGTGTGGTCATGTCCAGGGTCACCACGACTGGGGACAGGATAAAGGCTCGAAGGACAGGCGTTGTCCAGCGTGTTTAAAGGTACTGCAGTGTAAATCCAGTACTGAAAGATGAGCTGTGTAGAACAAAGTGGTCTTCTGGCCTGTGATTTATTTCTTAAAGAAAGAAATTCATTTCTGCAAATAATGAACGTCGCTTATTTATGAAAATACAGTTCACAGCTGTTACTTGCAGTTATTTTAAATATGATTCCACTGTTAAAATCAGCCATATTTTCCTTCTTCTGTACATTACAGCTTTAATTATTGTGGCTTTCTAAAAGTGACAATACTAAAAACTTAGGTGAATAAAAATGAGTAAGTATTTTTCATATCAATAAAGTTCTGATAAGACGAGTAGTCACATACGGACGTGAAGCCTGGACATTGACTAGCTTTGACGAGCAACAACTTAGAATATTAGAACGCAAAATATTACGGAAAATCTATGGTCCAGTACAGAATAGTGATGGCTCCTGGAGAATTAGGATGAATCATGAACTAGATTGTATCATACAGGGAGCAGATGTCGTGAGGCTGATGAAAAGCAAAAGGTTAGCCTCGCTTGGCCACGTTGCAAGAATGGAATGGAGACCGATGGGAAGAAGGATGAGAGGGAGTCACGGAAACGATGGATAGACGACGTGGAGGAGGATGTGAGGACGATGGGAGTGAGTGAATGGAGAAGGATTGTGAATGATAGGACAGAATGGAAAAAACTCGTCGAACAAGCTAAGACCCACATTGGGTTATAACGGTACAATAAGAATAAGAAGTATTTTTCATACTTTTGTTTAGTTGGCAGTTTCCTTTTTTCAAAGGTAAATTCTGAGTTCTCCTAAACATATGCTGCAATAGTTCCGCACAACCACAAAGCAATCCTCTGAAATTGATATGTCATCATTGAATAATCTGATTCAACCCATCACTTGTGGCATTTGAATGGCTGAAGTTAGGAAACTGGGAATTATTACCAGATACACAGTGCAGCATCAGTTTTCAGGAACCTGCCACTTCGTTAAATTGAATTGCTACCATCCTCGGCTTTTGAAACTATTTGATTTCCCATAAAAAGCAACATTGCTTTCACCGCTCTGGCCAAACAGCTGTACCACGTCTCTTGTTTTAATTTAAAAGTAGAAGTTTTCAAATGGTTAACACACTTGTCCTCGGCTTTTGAAACTATTTGATTTCCCATAAAAAGCAACATTGCTTTCACCGCTCTGGCCAAACAGCTGTACCACGTCTCTTGTTTTAATTTAAAAGTAGAAGTTTTCAAATGGTTAACACACTTGTGCTCATAACTGCGGAGGCTTTTCAATAAGATACAGGATAATAAAATTAAATTGCTTTGACCTGGAGGAAAATGGACCAAATGAGTAGCTGTAATGTGTAGACAGTTTCTATCTTCTGGACTTACGTGGTTTATTTTTTGTATCTTATGCAGTAGGCTCTTATTATTGTTTTCATTAGTCTAAAGATCGCTGTGCATGCATTTGTTCAAATAATTTTTTATTTCCAGATGGGGCCCGTAGTAAAACTGTGCATGGGAATTGAACCGGCATTTTACGTAGATGCCGGACCTCCGACATTTGCTTTCAGCCCTTGTGGCCACATGGCCACGGAGAAAACTGTGAAGTAAGTAGAATTCCTCTAGATTTTTAAGAATACATTGAAGTTTTAATTCATTAACTGATTATGTAACCATTAAAATTTCTCACCAGATATTGGGCCAATGTTGCGATTCCTCACAGCACCAACAGCTTTGACGCAGTATGCCCCTTCTGCGCCACGCTGTTGGTTGATTATCCGGGCTACGTCCGCCTTATCTTCCAGGATAATGTGGATTAAAAACCTACTTATGTTGCCGATTTGTTTGGTATTTGAACAGTTTTAATTTATTGCGTAATCTGGCGTCACCAGTCCAGAAGAAATTGCATTGGAATGAAAACTTTTACGTTGATTTGAAGGGGAAGCTAACATTATGGTGCCTTATTTTTGTTTTTATAAAAATATATACTGTATATAATTTCACAATTTAACTTTCGTGTAGAAAAGGAAATTAAAAGTGTTTAAGTTATTTATTACTTTTGAAAGATTTTCATTCAATCACGATTGAATTGATAAGACTGTTTAGATGTTAAGTAAGAAGAACAACAACATTAGGTAAACAAATTATAACCAAAATATAAACGTTTTTACAAAAGCAGTTGAGGGCAGTCTGCAGTGGGAATCAGGGATGAACGTACATCTCAGTTGTAGATGAGATGATCCCATACCAGGTGGATGTTTTGTGTTGGTGGTACGTTGTGGAGTACTTTGTATTTTTTCCCCAGTCTTCAAGGAAGGTGTAATCTCAGTTGGGTACTTTGGGAGTGCAAATTAACGATATATCGGTAAGCATCCGAAGACATTTTGTCTGTATGAAAATTCATCTACATACAGATCCAGAATCATAAAATCGAAAAAGCTTTAATTCCTAGGTTTTCCGGACGAGGGGTCCGGTACTTTATCTCTGTTAGGCACGGAACATTTTAGATCTTAGACTTTGTTCGATCACGCATTCCTTCAGAAAGTACAATAAATTAATATATCAGTGACTGTGCCCCATATATACAGTGAAACCTCTATCCATCGTTCCCCGAACTATCGTTTTTTCCGGATGCATCGTCCGTTTTGTTCGGTCCCGGATACATCCCATATAAAATAATGTTACATTTTCCCGCTTCTATCGTTCCTCGAACTATCGTTCAAAAATCCTAGTCCCGGCCCACAATTTTCCCGCAATGATCGTTTCTGAGAAATTATAACGAAATTTACGCGATGTTTTTAGAATTTAAAATGCTGGGTTTTGAGATAAATGAATACCGAAAGACGCACAATGTTTTTGGAATACGCAGTAGCGGTAACCTGTTATGTCGCCCAGCCAGCACAGATTCTTTTGGAATGAGGGGTGATAGTTGGAGAGAATGGCGGTGCCCATTGTCAGAAATTTGATGAGTTTAATTAGGGTGCACTCATATTTCGTTCCAGCGATGCCAGATGGCATGTGCAGTGTGAATTTCTTCACAAATGCTTTTATTATAAGTACAAAGGAAAGGCGGGCAGAAACTTTTCATTCTTCTGGTTCATCTCGTGTCTTCTACAGCTACGTTTCGTTCAGTTCGGCAGTAATGGTATTTCCATTCTTCCTGTTATTGTCCGCGAAGGGGGTGGGAGAAAGTTTCGACAAACCAGTTGTCCATTAAAGACTTTTTTTGGTAAAAAGAAGTAACTTTGAAACAGAAACATTGTTTTTTTTTTAAAATTTTTAATGCTTTCATAGTTTTTATTTCCCACCCCCGCCAAAAACGATGCATCGAGGTTTCACTGTACATATATAGAAAGTAGAATTGGGGTCGGACAAAGTACAGACTCACGTCGGCACACCAAGACCAAGTATTTGATCTTTGCACTTCATTCCCAAGTGTGATTAAGGAATTAAAATTTTAGGTTTTTTGTTTAAAATTGTTTTTACTCCACTTCCTTGTTCTAATTGTTGGTCCACCTGTTTATTATGATTATTTTAATTACTATATTTTGTCTGGCACATCTCAAACTGTAAAGCTCGTGCTTTGCAGACACGTTCTTTCATTTGTGACATATTTTGGTGTTTTATTGCTACATTAAACACATTTATTTTTAAAGTACATCTAGAATTGAATTCTTAAATAAATACAAAGTGGCTTTCCTGATCAGTGAATTATGAAACCCAAAATTTGCTGGACAGCAGAAGATTAGGTTTGTACGTGCCAAAGTTGGGTTTGGTTCTTGTGAACTGTTGAGGGTAGTGTACGAGGTTTTGATTATAGTGAGTTTGTGTTTATGTCGAGACGTGGAGTTCTGTAATAAATGGTTTAGTTGTAATGAACTTTGTATTATATTATATTTTAATCCTATTTGTTATGTTGTCTGTGTAGTCTGGTATAAGGCGCGAAGCATCTTCTGGATTAAGAGAATTTGGTGCCACATGATTGTGGACACCGGGAAGAAAACGCAGCGTTTGATGCAATTAAGTAAGAGTCCTTATTGACAGACTTATATTAGGCCTATGTTTACTAAGACAAAAAATCCTGCTTTGTACTGAAACCAAAGGCTCAGAAAAGTTTACCACTGGTCTCTATCTTAACCAGTATTTGTTCATTATTTTATTAAGCTTAGCCCTCATTTAATCAACTAGTAAAATTACCCTCCAACTTTAGCGGTGGAGATGGAAGTTGTATGTTTCATCGAAACGTCAGTATATACTTAAAGGTCCACGCGGGCGTTACAGACCACGGGACCGAAATCAATGACAAAGTCTGTTTTATTTTTAAACAGCAGAGTGATTCATCGCACTCTGTGGTCCGCAAACCCCGGTGTAAGACGGGTACAATCTTCTGTACAGAACGCAATAAATGAACGGGTTCACATAAAGTAACGCATAAACCGCGAATTAGGCCTATTAATGTCTTCATTCTTACAGAGTAAAGGTTTCGGTGGCTTTGACTTAGCCGCAAAAAAAGATTTTTATTGCAGGTGATTCTGCATGCGCATTAATGCAATTTATTTATTTATTTAAAGTTTAGAAAAAAGTCAACTGAAAATAAAACAATTTTTTTTTTCATGCTGAAAACACATGAGCAATCTTCTTCAATTGCTTTTCTTGTTTCAAAAGCTGAAATAGTATTCTTATTCATTGAAAATAAAATATTGATTCTGAAAATTAATGAGTATTCTGTATTCAGCTCCGGTTTTAACACTCCACAACCACCCGGAATTGTTGAAACAAAAAAGTGAACAACATACGTATCAGGTTATAATAGGACGCGATATTTTTCATAGCGGGAATAATGGAGCAAATTGGACACACACTTCATCTTTCTCATCGAACAAAGGAAATCGACGAGCTATGAATGAAATTTAATAATAATTTCCGCATATTCGTTTGTATGTTCTACGACCAACAGGAAAGTACACGCACTTTTCTCTACTGAATTGTTTTCCTGTTATTAATGACGTTTTTGGGATGAGAATGGAAACCCCCGAGAGAAAACGAGACAATGAAACAAAAATGTGTTGTCATCAGGGTAGAAAAACAAAACAAGCCGCAAAGCCGTCGAGAGATGCAAAAGGCATTTATCATTTTTCAATCTGATCTCTGGCTGTATGCATTGCATTCGAACACGGAGACCACGGAAAACTTTCGGTCGCAATAGAGACATTTACATGCTGTAACATCATAACACAACTTTACTCCAGAAAGTTTAATCGTGACGTCTGAACAAAAGATCCTAACGATGAAAGTTAAATGGCAGTGGTTATGTTAAAATTACAAGCCAATTTGTTCTGAAAACTTTTGTCTGGAATTCACAGCGACAAATGCCGAATGAGTGAATGATTTTTACTTTTTAAAGTCCCCTACATACGTAAGAAATTCCATACACGTGCCTTCGCAGTTCAGTTGCACCTGGTAATGTGTCATTATTATTATTATTTAGTGTTCTGTCTGACGACAGGTCCATATGAACAGGATCCTTCCATCCTTTTCTCGGACTGGGACCTGTTCATATACGTTCTTGGCAGATGATCCAGAAGTGGTTTGCCATTGCCTTCTTCTATGTGTGAATGGAGTAATTGTTGGGATGCCACGGAGGAAAACTCCGTGTTGCCTAGACCATGGCCTTGCCCAACACAAGTTATAAATTCGGGCACCGCCGGGAATCGAACCCGAGACCCCAGGATTACAAGTCCAGCGTTCTAACCGCTAGACCACCGTGGCTAATGTGTCATTATGAATACAAAATTTTTAATATCTAGTGAAATGCCTAAACCCAAAATAAAAAATGCATTTTTCAGAGTGTTATTGGATAATTTAATTCAGGATAGGAACAGATAAAAGTGTTTCCTAACTAAAGTCTATATAGGCCCACGAAACTTTTAAGATGTTACATAACCTGATTTTTATGAGAAAAGTTATGCCGATGCCGCCTTTTACAAGGATCCACAAATCGAAGAAAAGAATTTGCTAACAACGTCACATCACGTTTTATTTGTGGCATATCCGATGAAGAAGTGAAGGGAAAGGGAGGTAAAGTTGAAATTATTAAATTAAAATATAAAAGTTCAATTTTGGAGTTGGAACAACAGAATCCAATTTATCAGCTGAGGAAGTAAGAGTTGGCTGATACAGATTTAATTAAATGTTGGTTCCATACAGAGTATTTTTTTGTGTTTGTGGCTTATTATTTCAAAGGTGTGGTCAGAAAATCGTGCATCATTTAAATCAGTACAAATAAACCAAACTGCGGAACAAGAAACAAATGCAGAAATTCTATACCTTGCCCATGTGGTTTAGTCCACATTTGACATGAGTATCAGTGTACAAGTAACTTCGATTTATCCTATTTTCAAAACAACCTATAGTAAGCATAATTATTTGGCTTTGATACATAATTGTGGGGTTTCTTCAATTAATCAGTGTCGTTAAATAACTCCTCAATCAATTTACTTTATTTCTATCTTCAGTTTCACTGAGTTCAAGAGAAAAAGTTAACTGACTATTTCTTACCTGAGGGGCCTTTTTCTACAGAACTTACATTTTCAAGTACTAAAGTGTTGTAGCAACATTATCCTTTATTGTTCCATAATTTCTTTAAAGAACCATTTGCTTTGTGAGATTACTGAGAGCTGCTAATGAAGAAACAGAAAATTGCACTGCAATATAAAATAACTCAATGAGAACCAAATGATTGTCTGATATAAACTGGTTAAATTTCAAAATATAACTGAGATGCACTGGCCTTCCCTATATCTTCAAGACACCAAAGACATCATTCATGCAAACTCGGAAAATCGATTTCTGAATGTGAAATGATAACATTCATCATTCATTTTCAATTCAAGGAATCAGGCAGTTGCTGAAGACAACTTCTCCTTATATCTTAACATTAGTACCAACCGTAAAAAATACGGGTTTCAACTAACAGTTAAGGGTTGACGGTAAATCATTTATATATATATATATATATGTATTGTGAACGAGTTAGGGATAATTCATAAACATCGATAAAAACAACTATTATTTATCTTATGATAACACCATTCGAGATGAGAATATTGTAGTTGTCAACATGCCCTGGTCCTACGGTACCCTAACTTCCATAGTACTAAAGAAATTAAACTTTAGTTCCGAAAATAATAATATATTGGCGCGTATCAAAATAAAAGGAAATACTTAAGAGTATTATCTACCCCCTATAAATATTAATTTGCCAAGGGCTTTCAAAATTACTAATATAAAAGCTACGACACGCGTCACACACTTCAAATACAATTTCAAATGCAATTACCAGATCGCAGAATAACCCACTTGCGACACCCAATACTCTGTTTAGCAACATGGCACACCTGCCACAATATAAGGTATTGTGCTGCGCCCTATGAGCGATTTACAAGTAAACACAACCCAGTCGGTAAGAAGGTAAACTACTCTTCAGCCTTCACACTGCCACCTCTGTTTCTTGACCGCCATACACAACATACACCCGGAACAATTTTGGAACACTGATATTGTAGGTAATGTATTTGAGGAAAATGATCCATATTTGGGGAAAAATTACTATGTTTATAATAATTTTCACGTAACGACACTAATATCAACACTGATATGTTCTAACACAAGGTATTAACATTTTCCTGAAAGCAGTCAGAGATACAGGAAATGGTAAAGCCAATCTGCACGTAAGAAACAACCATCTTGTGCCACAAGAATTTCTTTTGCTAGGAAGTACGACCACACAAATGTAAGACCACTAAAAATAGTTATGACACACACACGTGTATATACAGTACTCTGAAGCTGTGAGGTACAGCATTAATTATTAGTTTTGTAGTTCAATTATGCTGTTAGTAGGTAAGACTATGTAATGTCAGATGACCAATGAAATGTTTTGAACTGATTGTGAGGTGGAAAATTATTCACCACACCTCACCTTAAGGACAGATCCGGTTCTCAAAATGTAGTGTAAATTTATAACATCAGACGAAGTCCAAAAGCCCAAGTGTCCAGATTATAGAATTGTTTGTTCTGTAGTTTATTTAATAATGTTGTGAGTAGCTCGGACTATACAGCATCAGTTTACAAGTAATTAAATTGAAAGTATATGGAAGGCATAATTTCAGGTACTATCCCAGCATTTACCTGGAAAGACTGAGGAAAACCAAACAAAACCTCATAGCCAGTCTCTGGGCCCTCCCACCAGGCCACATTAGAATGAGATAATCTCATGTGTAAGCACATTATTAATAAAGCTTTACCATAGATTATTATCTGCAGGACTGTTTTTGGCTTTGATCTTACATGAAAGAATCCAAAATCCAGCATATTTTATTATCTTTCAGTACAGTACAAAAGAGAACACCCTTTTTTACTTGTGACTTGACATTTCATCAGTATTTTCACTAATCATGGCTGAGTGGTTAAAACTTAATTCACTTTTCTTGTGGGGAGGTTCAAATCTTGGCCCAGAGACTTGACTATGCTGAGATTTTTCATTATTTTCTTTAGTTTTTTGCAGTTGGGTGCCAGAATAATATCTTAATTAAGCCACAGCCACTTCCTTACAGTAAATCCAATTACATTTTTGTAACAGTACAAATAAGTAGGTAATTACATACACAGGGTCAATCCTAGTAGCTGTTGACCCACACCAGGTTCTTCCTTTTTACCGTATCGGCAATTTCATCGAAACGGCACATTCTTTTTCTAGTGTTCACACGTTTCGCTTTAGTTACCGTATTGCGACGCACTCGCTCCGAAGATGGACTTTAATACGTTTCTCCTTATGTACTGGTATCGTCGTCGTCATAGTATCGATAGGAGAGATAGGCCTCGTTGGGGATCCTATCACACACAGATGTGCCAACTTAGGAGAGATGAATTGAAATTTTTCAATTATTTTCGAATGTCGATGTCTACTTTTGATTACCTGTTAAGATCAGTGGAAGGTGATTTGACAAAACAAAACACAACTATGAGAAGAAGCAAGAAAAATTAGCCATATGCCATATACAAGTGCGCTCTACCGACTGGTCGGCAGCCTCGGGAAGCTTTCCTCTACGGAAGGAAAACCGAATTGTCTGAACGCACTCCATTACAATAAATGCGCTACTGGCGACCGATTCGCTTTTGTTACCGCATCGCCTCTTTCGGTTTCCATTGACAAAACCGAATGTCATCGGCGACCGACTCGGTGATTTTACCGTACACGGTCGACAGCCGTTTCGTGTGAACATTCACATATAACGTGCATTGCAACTGTGATGTACGGTAAAATAATCGATTCGAGAAAACGGCCGATTCGGTGTCGTGTGAACGGGCCCCAGAGGACTGCAAGTTGGGTGAGCTTCCTCCTCGTTTATTTGCCATCGGAGACAGCTGCATCACTGACATGGAACGGTTTCAGCAGAACCAGTGTGCTGTTATAAGGTGTGTGTGTTTTAACCTTTTAAAGCTGCTTTAGCAATAAATAACTCTTCATTTTGTTTTATGGGTTTCATAAGATTCTCACTGTAAATGGATTATTTACTTCAGTACTCTGAATCAGTTGATCTTTGTAATGGAAAAATCATGAATCTCTTTACTGTGTAATTTTCTCCAGCCTTTTGTTTCTTGTAACAGACCGGGTTTCACACTCAAATAAAACAAGACATAACTTATTGTTATGTATTTTAATCTTAAGTCCTTAGGTAGGAGATGATGAAAGATTCTGAAGTGAACATTACTCAAATTTAATATGCTCTAAACTTTTTATTAATATAATTTGGACTTGTGACTGTCATTTTGCTAATATTTGATCGTTACTGTATTTGTAAAGGATGTATGTCATGTTTCATGAAAATCTATCACATTTCAAAAGTAGACGGGACTAACCACACACGCACACATGATCTCGGAGAAATGAAAGGAAAGCTAACAGTAGGATATTGCAATACAAAGACCCCTTTTCAGAAGTTGACAGTAATACACCTTAAAAAGAAATTTCCCTCCTTTTATGGAACCTGAAGTTTAATTACTGTGCTCGCATGATCCCAGCATTCAATAATTTTAATTGTATTAATGTATGTTCATTCTTCCAAGCAATTTCCTCCATTCAAATTTATGACTGAAATTTTGTATGCATTTCTCGTCTCTCCAATGTACACTAAATGTCCCAAGGACTTGATGTGAGAGATCAGCTCTTTCACATTTCCTGGATACAGGAAAATTAAGCAAGATGTTCTGGAAACTGCTAGGTATCATAATCAGGTACAAAGCCCGGCCATCTGAAATCAAGGTGGATTTGGAACGTACACCTGCAATATAAAGGAAAGTGGAAGGAAAACAACCACAGAAAGTATGACTGAGCTAACTAAAGTACATTTTTCCAATAAGATTCTTACAATATAAGGCAAGTGACGAGGTATCTTGTGTTTTACAAGTATAACAAAGGTCAGATGGTCTATAGGATTACTTCTACACTTAAAATGATGCTTCAAAATATATATTATAAATATACATTTCTAAAAAGGAGGATTTTAATGTCATATTTATTCTAATTTTTAATTAACAGATAAGGTGTTAAAACGAGTATTAATTTGAAATGTTATTTAAGTTTGAGAACAATTTTTAGATTGTATTTTTATAAAAATTGCTTCAACTTTTTGATGTTACAGAGTAAAGATTGTCACTAGAGACCAAAACTCAATGAGGTAAATTTTACTCTAGCTCTTGAAAACAAATGACTGTTCGTTGCAGCTGTTGCGAAACATTCTAGACTTCAGAGACATTTGTAGAACCACGTAATAAATGGGAATGAAAAGTTTGCATATACTAATAAATGCGCGGTATAGACGGTGTTCTCTGAAGAAGAATGTAAATTTATTGATTATATAACCAGAACCAGTAATATGCACTACGGTATCTCATGGAAGGAAGTTGTGGAATTGACAAATAAATTTGTAAAAGAAACGTCAAGGAATTATCCCAAATCATGAGACATGAATGGGCACGCACGTAAACAATTGTTCATTGATTTTATAAAGCACAACCCCCAAGTAGTTAGTCTTGATAGGGCCACAGCTTCCCTGTACTGATATTTCTGAGTGCATTTCAAAATTCATACGTCGAACGATTCACCACTGGGCATGCACGTAACTTCTCGTCAAATTAGCGAAGTTTATTGAATTCATAATTATTTTGTTCGCCGTGTGACACCCACTGAAGATGAATTCATGTGTTGACTGCAGTGATAACCAGACACTGGACAGATGTGTCTCAGACTCTTTAAAAATAAACTACAATGCAGCATTAAGCAATTGGTAGCTTCCTAATTCAGGAGAACCAACATCATTCTAAAATGGTGGTCATTTGATTGGCGTGGCACATGTAACTTCTTTCAGTCCTTGTAACGTCCAGTCTAGATTCTGTCTTTGGTTTGTGGCCTGTCAATGCTGATAGTTTTAGAGATGATAAATATTTTAGTTCTTTTGAAAGAGACATGCGTGCACCAGGAACCCACCAATCACCTGATACACACATAAACAAGTCACTTCATCCATCAGAGACTGGTCAGCAGATTGTCCCACCGTTATAAAAGCCTTCAACAAGCAAAACAACCAAAATTCCTCCAAAACCTCTATTCCTAAAGCATAATCGAGAAAGGCTACAAATTAGATAGGTCGACGGTTTTAACGGAAAATGCCAGAAAAAATTAAACTGAAGGATTACAGACTGGAAAAATTTATCGAATGTCGCTTCATAAATGAAGGTTGTAAAAAAATTATTTTGAGGAAAATCAAAACAAACAAAGACATAGAGAAATGATGTTGAACCAAATTTTGTCAGATGAGTAACTTTTAGCATCAATGAATCTCGGCCTATATGTCGGCATCGGAATGAACGAGAAGCTATAGCAGATGCTTTCCTGAAGACAGAATTTCCTTTATCGAGCATAGATGGATGAGAGGAGGAGATGGAAGAATATCAACAGTGAAGAGGGGAAGACAGAAATACCGAAGACTGAACAACGAACTGAGAAGAGAAACAGACAAGGCGAGAGAAGATTACATCAATGAAGTATGTGATGAGATAATGACACTCCAGAGAATTGGCAGATACGATTTGATGTATGCAAAGGCGAAAGAACTAGGATGGAAAGAGAACACCAGAATTCGAACACAGGAAATAGAAGACCCATCAGGAAAGACAGTCAGTGACCAGAATGAAGTTAAAGCTCTATGGCAAGGCCAATCGACTGGATGAGATGGAGATAGTGAATTTGCTAAGCTGCATTTTGGTGCTTAGTACATTCGACATGAAAACTCCATAGATCGGTACTTCCAGCCATCTGAAAGAACACAGCCCAAGGTACAAGGGTTTTCTCTATAATGAGTAAATATTTTTACAGTTTAATTTAAAATAGTCATTTATCAAAAAATTTGTGCCTTTCCGGGTAAAAGTTAAAAATGTAAAGTTACAATTTAAATCCCTCGGCAGAAAACACTGTCACAAAACAAGAATGACCATTTTATATGCAAAATAAAAGTGTCCACCGTTATAAAAGCCTTCAACAAGCAAAACAACCAAAATTCCTCCAAAACCTCTATTCCTAAAGCATAATCGAGAAAGGCTACAAATTAGATAGGTCGACGGTTTTAACGGAAAATGCCAGAAAAAATTAAACTGAAGGATTACAGACTGGAAAAATTTATCGAATGTCGCTTCATAAATGAAGGTTGTAAAAAAATTATTTTGAGGAAAATCAAAACAAACAAAGACATAGAGAAATGATGTTGAACCAAATTTTGTCAGATGAGTAACTTTTAGCATCAATGAATCTCGGCCTATATGTCGGCATCGGAATGAACGAGAAGCTATAGCAGATGCTTTCCTGAAGACAGAATTTCCTTTATCGAGCATAGATGGATGAGAGGAGGAGATGGAAGAATATCAACAGTGAAGAGGGGAAGACAGAAATACCGAAGACTGAACAACGAACTGAGAAGAGAAACAGACAAGGCGAGAGAAGATTACATCAATGAAGTATGTGATGAGATAATGACACTCCAGAGAATTGGCAGATACGATTTGATGTATGCAAAGGCGAAAGAACTAGGATGGAAAGAGAACACCAGAATTCGAACACAGGAAATAGAAGACCCATCAGGAAAGACAGTCAGTGACCAGAATGAAGTTAAAGCTCTATGGCAAGGCCAATCGACTGGATGAGATGGAGATAGTGAATTTGCTAAGCTGCATTTTGGTGCTTAGTACATTCGACATGAAAACTCCATAGATCGGTACTTCCAGCCATCTGAAAGAACACAGCCCAAGGTACAAGGGTTTTCTCTATAATGAGTAAATATTTTTACAGTTTAATTTAAAATAGTCATTTATCAAAAAATTTGTGCCTTTCCGGGTAAAAGTTAAAAATGTAAAGTTACAATTTAAATCCCTCGGCAGAAAACACTGTCACAAAACAAGAATGACCATTTTATATGCAAAATAAAAGTGTCTCAGTTTAAGAAGGAATTGAAGGACTTTCTTATTAAGGGGCGTTACTATTCACTAGAAGACTCTTAATGAAGAATTTTCGAATATTGGCTACTAATAATCTAATGTGTATAATGCTATATCTCCAATGGGATTATATCATAATCATTATTGTATTTTGATAATGTATAATATAGATTGACATATCCTATATCAATGTATTTTGATCTACAGAAAGTATTAATATTATTATTATTATCAGGAAGTCAATTATTTATTATTTATACTTTAAGTACGAGCACTGAATTACAGCCAGTGGTGTACGAATCCAGTCATCAGTCACGATGGCACGTGACGTGACGAATGGATGCCTGAAAAATGCATAATAAAATTCCCTTGTCAACATGCGACAATTTCGTGTCTTATGTATAGTTCGACATTGTACAGCCACACGAGGAAGTTTCAAAACACAATAACTGTGAACCTTTAAACTAAATATTCGCTCACTTGAGGAACTTATTTCAGTCCTCAGTTGACTTTTGGGAGTGATAAATTTATTAAACTATAGCTACATATAAAACAGTGCATCAACCTTAGTCGTCTGAAGAGTCGACAAATAAAGACATGATCCTCTTTCATTTTTTTGGTTTCAGCACACGTTCCTCGGAATCGGAATCGTCTTTTACCATCTTCAAACAGACGCCGACTTGGTCAAACGTTTCTGCAGTCTGTCATGGCTACTGCCATCACCATTTGCAGCCCGCGAGATCACAACGCTACGCAGCTGTTAATGCTGAGGATGCTGTCGACCTCAGAAGAGGTAGGAGGTGTATCGTAGCTCTTGACTGAGTAGTCGCTCTCCTGCTTTGTACCTGTATTTTCCATGATTCCTGTTCCTATGAGGTCAATGTCTTCTTCTGTACCGTTTGCGGCCGCCGCGCAAGGACCGGGAGATGTAAGTGTGTTTGCTGCTAATGCTGGAAGTGTTACAAGTTGATGATAGCAATGCTGTCTGTTGCCGTTTGGAATTTTTGACATCACGTGAGCGCACCAATGAATCGGAGTCAATTTTGGAATGATCTTGGTTCCTAAGAAAATATATTTTTTGCAGAAGACGCTGTAGTTTTCCTGGCTTTGTGACCTTCAACAAACACAAAAAGTCACAAGTAATTAACTAAAGGAACAGAAACGTTATCATCATGAAACCAGCTTTACCATTAGACGTATATATATATATATATTGCCAGATTTCGAATTGTGCTGAGCTTCCTTCTTCTGAAATTTCCTAACGGAGACTGAGTTGTTTTCTGATCCGGATGACTCTGGAGAGCTTGATGATGAGAGAAACATATCTCTGTAACTGCAATCACTGGAGCCTGTGCATGTCATCTGGGTCAACTCCTGAACCAAACCACAAAACCAAATGTAATAACTGTTAAGACTAGAATGGTAAGTGGCTTGTTCCACCTGTCCTGTTAAAATAGGGCAAGGGACCAGACCCCCCGCCGAAAAGCGGATCTTTGCAATTTTTTTCACTTGCAAATGCATATCAAAGCCTAATAAGATGTTACACTATCATATCGTAAGTGCACAATAGC